GTCGGTCAAGGACGTACTCGGCCGTGGGCGCGCTCATTCCGTCGGCCCACGACCACGTGTCCTTGGCGACACGCTGCGGTTCGAGAGGAATGAAAATGTGGTCGTGGTTGCGTTCGCGAATCGCCGCGCGGTTATCGGGAGCGAAAAAGGCGGCCGACGAAATGGCAAAATGCAGCAGCGCGACGCGGTCGGTTGGATTGCCCGTCAGCACCCACTGGCAAATCACCTCGAGTTTGTCGTAGGGAATGCGCTCAATGGGCGCGCGGCGCTCATCGTCGACGTTAATGGACGACGAGGTCGAGAGTGCTTGCAGAGAGTCTGGAACGTTTGGCCCAGTGCAGTAGCAACGACTGGTGGCCTCCAGATGTGGCCGCGCGCCGCTTGTCCTCTTGTCGTCGTCCAAGTTGCAACACAACCCGTGAGCCCACGCCAAAACACTCGCTGCTTTTGATCTTGCTCCACCCCATCCTCTCGCTGTTCTCTTTGTCACGCGCCGGCCTATGTATCAGTGTCCTCGGTGCACAGCTCGCTCATTTTCGAGCGAGCTCCATGACCGAACGACTTTGGACGGGCCCGGTAGACGAATCGCGCTGGACCCGGGATTTGAATCGCAAGCGCCTTTGCTTCGCGCGGTTCATTGAGGCCGGCCAACATGCTGCCTTTGCTGGCTTTATGGAGCGGAGAGCGGACGCACGAGAGAGGATACGGGCGAGACTTTAGAGCATGCCAGAAATTCTCACCATGAACGGAGTGGGTGCATTTTTAACGAGACCTGACCCATGAGCACCGTGTGCCTTTGGCAGCTCAACACTGAAAAGAAGACAATTTGAAACCACTCCCATCAAACATTTTCGTCATGGCCCTCCCCACCACAACGCATGCGCACAACGTCGCCCAGGGGTAACGCGCAGCGCCATTACGGAGTGCCTGATCGCGCACAGCGTGATTCAACGCAACCGAGTGGCGTGCCATGCTCAGCGTAGCGACCGGCCACGTCTTAGGCCTTGCCCGGGAAGCAATCGGCCGCCGTCTTGTTGTGCTAGAAGTATGCGCGGCGGGGGCAAAGCGATCACGGCAGTTAGGGCGTTGGTTCACACCGCGGTGAGTGAACGAAAGAATGGCAATCAACAATCAACGCGCCTTGTTCTCAGCGTGCTGGTTGAGCGTCGCGAGGTTCGCAGTCCCGAGGAACGTCTGCTTGCACACGACGCACTGGATGTTCTTGGCGGCCTCGTTCTGTTCAAGTGCCGAGATTCAAGATTTGGTGAGTGACTGCACAAGACCGTTGCGAACTTAACTCGGAAACGTGCGCGCCAAGTAATGGCCGTGCAGAGGGAGAGCCCCTTCCGCCAGCCATCAAACTATACGGACCACTTTGAGCTGCGACTTGGCCACACCGCCCGCGGCCTTGGCGTTGCGCTCGCGCTTCTGTTGCGCCTTGCTGCCGTTACCCTATCGGACATGATCCAGTGCGCATCGGAGGCGATTAATCAACCATGATCACGGCAGTTGTCGTCGTTGTTAATTTGGTCGGCCCAATCGGTCAAGCAAAATCGCATCAGGGCGGGCCATGGTTGAAGCGGAGCTGGTTGGTTGGGCGGGATTTGCTGGCGACGCCGGTACAGAACATGTCCAAATCAATCATTACCATGGTTGCAAGTAGTTCGGGGGCGAAATGATTGACAGGGAGTGCGGTTGTCGAGCGTCGAGGATGTAGCAGGGGTCGCGGAAGTAACTTTGAAATCATCTTGAGGGAGGCAAGAGGCAGAAGGGCTGCGGTGAGAGGTTTTGACGTGGAAAGGTGTCAGACCCGGGATATGCTGTGTCAAAACCATCATTGAGAAGTCAGCGGGTCTGAAAGTACAGATGTAGAGAAACAGTTATATATAATTGTCCGAAGAATGTGCTGTCCCTTGGATAAAAAAGAGGCCAGGTCCCGACGCGGTGCTCACGACACCATTGTTTGTTGCTGCGTCTGCTCGACAATTCCTCGACTACGAGCCAGCCGTGCCAGCGCATGCATTCCACCACCGCAGCCAAGCGAGCCAGCAATGAAGGACGAGCTCCGCCCAGCTCAGCGGGTCATTCCCCTTGAGCGCGCTTGCTGCAAGCCAGTCCCACGACGTTCTTTCTTCTGCGCGCGCCCTCTCAACGTGCATTCGCGCACCGAGTCCGACCCCGTACCTCAGCCAACTTGCTACTTTCGCTTCGCCGCACCCTCCACGCTCGCAGCGCCGGCACGCTCTCTCGGAATGGGTCCGGGCTCGAGCACATCCAGCAGCCAACCTCGAATGCACTGGCGCAGTCGGCCAGCAAGACACGCGCGAGGCTCACCCTGCCCACGATCAAGCAATCAAGCACGCCGTCTGCCTGCATGCACAAGACTCTTGTGCAAACGATTTTGCTCCCGGTCGTGCTGTCGCTCCACCAAGTCCGCTCCACCGACCTGGCGTGGTCAGCAGCCAACTTCACTTGCATCGCGGCTTTCCGCTCACGTCAGAGACCGACCGCGCCTGCATGGCCGACGACTCCCGCCCCGACCAGGCGCCATCAGCTGCGCAAGACGCGTGCGCCAAACGCCGTCGACGTTCTCCATCCCCATTCGCGGCGGTTGTCCTTCTCCACCCACTGCGGCCGGCGTTCTCCACCCGAGCAATTGCGTCTGACCGTCACGTTCCAGTGCGGTCGATCCATGCCTGACGCGCACTCCAATCACTGTTGGCGTCGCGCGCACCGGCTCTCTACGCCATGCCGTTGCACTTCTCGACGCCAGCGACTCCTACATGCGCATCCGAGCGCACCATTCGAGCGATCCGTCCCGCCCGTGCGGCCGAGTCGCTCGCGTGTTTGGCCGACCGCTCATACACGATCTCGTCGATCACGTTCGCGACTGGCTGGACCGGCGCCCTCGACGCGCATTCCGGCCGACCGCGACCAACGTCTTGCTCTGACTCAGTCTTGTTCTGACTCTCGGCCACCACCAGACTTAACTCTCGCTTCACCGTGTTTTACTGACAAACATAAAGGAAAAAATATCCGGCGATGCCCGTTGGCCACGCTCTCCTCCGGTTCGACTTGCTCGGCACGCGACGCAGCTGCAGCACGAGGCTGTCGGCCGTGATCATCGTCGGCTTGTGGATGATGGGATGCGGCGACGTGGTCCCCGGCAACTCGTCGTAGACGTACGACGGCTCGAGCGGGTTGACGAGCTCGGCCCGGATCCGCACGTGCTCGCCAAGCACTTCCTCGACCTCGGCCTGGATCTGCTCGCGGTACAGGCGGCGCGGGAGATAGCCCTGCGCGACCGGCTCGTCGGCTGCTTGGCGATTCGGGCGAGAAATAGAGAAGTTGATCAAGATTTCCTCGGGAATCAAGATCGTCGTAATCTCGACACGCTGCATGAGACGGTCGTAGACGTACTGTCGGCCCGTGGCCTTGTGGTGCAGCAAGACCGAGCTCGACGTTGGCGCAAACAGCGTGGCGCGCTGGCCGAGCAACCGCGGATGGCCACGGAAATGTCGCAATCACGGCCCTTGTACTTCTGCTCGATTTGCCAGCGCCCAATTTCGCCGTGCACGTTGCGGTTCCCTGTGCCGTCACCATCAATAAAGGCTGGGAAAAGGAAGGGAGGCTCAACCGTCAGTTCCAGACCCACCATTGCCACGAGAGGAGACGCACCGCCAATCGCCGAGGCCCTGATGCGCTCGCTGTCGGCAAGCAGCAGGGCCAGCACCTCGGGGCCATAGACCTTGGCCTGGAAGACGCCGAGCCGCTGAAGCACACGACGGAAAATCGTGTCGTGCGCCTTGCGCGCCGGGTCCAGGTTCACGAGCTTCATTTCCATCATGATTCCGGTCGACGCGTTGGTCGTGGGGTGGCGCAGGAAGTAGCACATGGCGTTGACACGCATGCCGAGCGCCGCCACGTGCTCGAGGCACACGCACAGCGCAATCCCGTTCTCGTCTCGTTTTTGCCAAATTACGCATTGACGCCGCGCGCTGTCCGCCATCCACATGCACGATCCAAGAAAGCCGCATGGTCCATGCGCCGTCAGCGAGAATCTGCTCGTGATTGCCGGGCATGCCGTTCAGGACCTCGTGCATGACGCTCAACCATGTGGGCACGCTCGTCTACATGAATGTCGAGGTAGTCGTTGAACCTGTGCACGGCAAGATTCCAGTAGACGATTGAGCCGGCATGCTGGTCGATGAGCGCAGCGACGAGCGCGTTCCTAGACCCCAACAGAGACGGGCTCAGGTCTCACCATGGCGTGTGCGCGTGCACATCAAGATAGGAATGACGTACCTGCGGAAGCTCGTCCCAAGGAATGGGGATCCGCTGCGTCCCTGGCACAACCCCGCAGGTCGTGGAAGACATCCGTCCTTGAACCGGAGCATGACCATCTTGAGACTAACGTAGCTCGTGCCAGTGCGCATGTAGTCGCGAATGAAATAGCGAGTCGGCGAGCAGACCGTGGCGAGGAAGTGCGGCGCGCAGCGGGCAATGGCGATGCTCGGTGCCTGGTACTCGCCCTTGTCGCGCTCGGTGTAGTAGACGTCGACCGTGTAGCTCTCGTCATCGACGACGTGGTCGACATAGGTGACGCACAGCTGACGCTGGAACGCGTCGAGGATCAGGTCGTCTTCCGCGGCATCGCCCAACCTCTTGGTGCTGCAGTCGGCGAGCCGAATGAGCGTGTCAGGGCGGTTAGCCGCGTTCATGGTTGCTTGCAGGTGGTGCTTCGGTTGCAGCGCCCTGAATGACCAGTGTCGCCAGTGTCGTCGATCGTGTCGAGGAGTGGCAGTCAAGAGCAGTAGTGGAGCCGGGGCCGGTGGGGAAGGGGGAGAGGATGACTCCCTCGCTGAATATGTTCGAGTCCGATCGGCTGGCCTGCCATGGCACAACTGCTTTGAATGCGCAACACCTCCGTTTACCAACACATCCCAGCTGTGACGCAATAATACTTAGTGGGCAACATTTGGCTCTGCCGTAACAACCCAGGTTGTGTGGCCGAGTGGGTCTAAGGCGGTGGACTTAAGTTCCACTGGTGCTCAGCACCTCTTGGGTTCGAATCCCAACGCAACTAGCCATTTACTTTTTGTGCACGTGGCCGAGAGGTCGAAGGCGGTGGACTTGATTCCACTGGTGCACAACACCTCTTGGGTTTGAATCCCAACGCAACTACGCATTTACTCTCTGTGCATGTGGCTGAGTCGGATAAGGCGGTGGACTGAAGTTCCATATGGGTTCAAACCCCAACGCAACTACCCATTTTTCGTTTGGCCCGTGTTGACAACAGCCAACATTTTATATACATGGCCGGGTGGTAAAGGCAGTGGACTTCGGCTCCACTGGCATGAAGCACCTCTTGGGTTTGAGCCCCAATGCCACTAGTTTGGGATCTTTTGCCAAATTGTTGAGTTTCTCCTCTTTTCCTTTGTATTGGTCCTCAATCATCGCCTCTCCTGTCAAAATCCTTCATCATTCATCACTAGAGTATCTTTCACGTCCCAGATTGTGCTCGTGTTGCTGCCATGACATGACGACTGCATAGTTGGTGGAAGCTATGAATAATTACTGAATTTTTTGAACGTCAATCCCTGCCTGCGACTCCAAAATTTGCAGTGAAAACGATTCGATGCGCCCAGTGCCCAGTGCGACCAAGTGCGTATTTTAAATGTTGCAAATTGATGGCCCAGAAGCCAGGTGTTGGATTGCTGAGAACCACCATGGGCCACCATCAGCAAAACACCATGAACCTAGCTGTAAGTCACCTGCAGAAGGCTGCCTACCAGGCAGCCTTCTGCACCACGCCATTGTCATCAAACGATGCATGCGGGCGCCAGGGAGCTGATTCCTCCGTTGTCCTTTGCCCTTGCCAGAATGCCCAGTGACTCCTTCCTTGCTCGTTGGCCACAACTGAACTCGAGTCCGCAAGGCCGTCGCTTCTTTGCCGTCTCAGTTTCCTTCAGCTCAGCTCGGTCCCAACAATCCGCAAGTCGGCCTTTAATGCGCTCTGGCCAACTGTGCGAGCTGTTGACCGCCTCAAGTACTGATGCAGGATCCACCTCTCCACGCTGGCCGCTCCACACACGGTCCACGCATCTCGCCAAGCCCGCCCCCGCCGCTGCCCAGTATCCCCAACTTTTCGCGTCGCGCCATCATGCCCGCGGCAACCAACCCATCGTTGTTCCCCGATGCCAAGCGCCGACGTGGCGAGCCCACCACCACCACCACCAGCGCGCGCGGTGGTGGCACGGCGCGTCGAGGACGCGGTCGTGGCGGTGCCGCTGGTGCCGGCGCGAAACGCGACGAGACGCCGTCCATTGCCGCGGCGTTCCGCAACAAGCTCGAAGCCGACGCGTGGCGTGCGCTCGAGGACGTGGCGACGGTCGAGGACTTGCGCGAAGAGCACTTGGCCGCCGTGTACCGCGCGCACCCGGATTTGCATCGCATGTGTGTGCCACCCGCCGCGTGGGTTGAGGGCGCGACGAATCCGACTGTCGCAGGGGAGGACAAGGTCCCGGTCGATGAAGAGGAGCCGGTGGTCGTACTCGGCGACAACTTGGAGCTCAAGGATGCGTTTGATGCCGAATCGGAAAGGACGGTGCTCGTTCTCAAGGACAGCGACGACGAGGACGACGACGAGACGATTGTCGCGGATTCTGACCAGGGCGCGAAACGTCTGTTTGTTGAAGTTCCGGCAAGTGCGGTTGCTGCATCCTCGTCGACGGGTTCGATGGCAGGGCCGAAATTGCCATGCAACAAGCGCCAGTGCCAGCAAAACCCAAATTGCTTGCTTCATTTGGGCCTGGCCGAGTGGTTTCGCAAGGGTGCGTTGTTGGCTCGTCGATTGGTGTTGTGCCAGAGGACGTGGTGTTCTGACCTGTGACCTGGTTCGCTCGCGATAGACGCCAAGGCGCGCTTTGTCGAGCGCGAACTCAAGAAGTTTGGCGCACACGTCGACCCGGCCCTGCTGCTCGCCGCAACGACCGAGTCGAACGAGCTCGTAGGCGTGGGCCTCTTGAATATGGGCGCGACGTGTTACATCAACAGTTTGTTGCAGGTACGGTTCAAGTCGAAAACCGACACGAATGACGTGCGTGGGGCCTGACGACCGGTTTCCTCGCCCTCCCTCTGGCACAGGTTCTGTACTCGGACGTCACGTTCCGAACGCGCGTCTACCAGCACGCATCGACGTCGCTGCTCCTCGCCCAGCTCGGCCGCGTGTTTGCGTTCCTACAGCAAGGCCATCTCCCGACCTACGCGCCGCGCGAGCTGATCCAGTACCTGGAAATCAACCCAGGCGTGCAGCAGGACGCGCAAGAGTTTGGCAAGCTCTTGCTGCAAGTCATCGAGGAGCAATGCCCCGCGTTTGACCAGCCGATGCACGTCCGTCTCGAATTTCCTCCTTGACGTGGGCTCATGTCCTGACCACTCACGACCATTACGTCCACCACTCTCCAGCTCGGCGGCACGTCCAAGTACGTGACCGAGTGCCAAGGCTGCGGTACCGCGACACGATCTGCACCAAGCCGCTTCCACGAACTCGTGCTCAGTCCGGCCGCGCGCCTGCAGAACACGGTCGAGGGCATGCTCGACTCCCTGTTCGCAGCCGAGCGCATGACTGACAGCAACCAAGTGCATTGCGCGACGTGCAAGTGCAAGCAGGACGTGGACCGGCGCATGGAAGTCGACAAGCTCGGCGACGTGCTGTGCCTGCAAGTCTCGCGGTTCGCGTTTGACCCGAAAACCATGACCAAGAAAAAGAACCAGCACTCGATTCGGATTCCGCACCAGCTCGTCGGCATGGCCGCGATCCCGGGCGCCTGGGTGCTCACGGGCATGGTCATGCACAAGGGCGCGAGCGCCGATTACGGGCACTACATAGCGCATGTCCGACTGCGCGCCGATGGGCCGTGGCTATGCCTCGACGATGACAAGTGCACGGTCATGCCGGACCCGCCGGACCCGCTCGGGTCCAAGGAGGCCTACCTCTTGTTCTATACGCGCGCCGAGCTCGTTGTGCATCCGCCGCCCGTCCCGGAACCGCTGCAACTCGATGCGCTGGCTGTGCAAATGGAGGTGGACGACTACCTCGCCAAGAAGCGGCAGTCGCAGGCGCAGTACAAATCTGATGTGTTGTTCACCGCTTGCGTTCTCGGCAGACGTGCTAACTCTCGGCTCGTGTTGCGCCTGTAGAATCGACCAGGTCGTTCAGGACTTTGAGCACTCGTTCAAGCTGCGGCGAACCATTTTCGCCGAATCGCTGCCCCAACACATCGACGTGCGTGACGTCTTTTACCCGCGCGCTCACTGATCCCTCAAGCAAAAACTCACTCTGCCGTGCTACAATAGGACCCCTGCGCCTACATTCCCACCGCCTACCTTGAACAAGTGTTTGCGCTCGATCCGCTCATCCGCCAAATGCCGCCGCTGGACATGACCGCATTCCAATGCCAGCACCACCGGCTCAATCCGCGCGTGCTCGGGCAAGTCAAGCGCATCGCACTCGCCGCCGCACACAAGTACACCCAACCCGTCGGCGTGATTCTCGATCACGAGTCCGGTCCGTGCCGCGACTGTGTTGCCGCCGTCGTGCACGACCACCAGCAGCGGCGCATGGGCCGCAGCGCGTTCGACGACTGGGACGCGGCCGCGTTCGACGGCGACCCGCGCGCGGCCTGGGCGCCGAAAGCGTGGGCCGCCGACGTGAACCGCACGCGCGTGGTCTCGGACCCGAACGAGCAGGCACTGGCTCTCTATTGTCCGCACGGGAAATTGGCGCCGGGGCCGCAGCGAATCGCCGTGTCGGACGCGCAGGTCGCGCTGCTAGCGGTCTTGTACCCGCATGTGCACTTGCCGCGCATGACCGAGACCGTGTGCCCGGACTGCGCGGCCGTGCACGCGGCGATGCAGGCGTCGCTCAACGACTCGCGCGAGCAGGCGGCGCGTGAATTGGCTGAGTTCACGCAGCTCCTGCGCGTGCCGTCTCTGCAAGACGATTTTCTGCCCGTGCCCGACGACTACGTGCTCGTCGAGGGCGAGTTTGTGGAATCGTGGCGCGCGTGGGCCAACCAGCCGGACAGCGCGACGCGGCCGAGAGCCATTGACGGGACACGGCTTCTGTGTGAGCACGGCAAGCTGCATGTCGATCCGCGTGCCAAGCTCGACCGCAGTCTCGAACTGTTTGTGCCCGTGTGTCGCGGCATGTGGGCGCGGATCGCCGAGCTGTTCCCCGTGGAGGGTGATCTCGTTCTCGACAACTCGTTTGAGGTCTGCACCGGGTGCCGTGTCCCGTGGCTCATTCAAACGTGCAGCAATTTCGAGCTGGATATCACCATCGAGCGCGCTCCCGACATGGCCTCGGTCGGCGCAACGACGGCGACCGGCCGCAAACGCCGGCGCGCGGCCAAGACGGAGGTGCTGATCAAGATCACCGAGACGCTGCGCGATGCCAAGATGACGGTGCGTACTCTGTTCAAGATCCTGCTGTGACAGTCTCTGATAGTATGCTCACTGGTTTATTTCTCGCCCTCCTCCACCAGCTGATCGAATTCGCCGGCGTCTACCCCATGGACCAGCGGCTCTTCTTCAACGGCGTTGAGCTCACCGACATGTCCGCGACGATCCTGCAGCTCGACCTCTACCACGGGTGCACGCTGACGCTCGCTGTCGACGACGCACGCGACACGTCGCCCGACCGCAACGGCGAGCGCGCGCGCGAAGTCGGCTTCACGGGCCTGTTGCAGCGCGGGCGCGGCGGGGGTGGCGAGAGCAGTGCGCTGCCACCCGTTCCACAAGCTCCTCCTCCTCGGCCCGAGCCCGTGCCGGACCGGACTGTGGTGTTGGAACTGACCACCGACGAGAAGGAGGCTGAAGAAGACATGATGGTGATGCTCATGGACGTGGATATGGACGTCGACATGGACGCGCCGCAGGTCGCGTGCCCAACGTGCACGTTTTTGAACTCGGCCCACCTGCAAGTGTGTGAGATGTGCGAGAACACGCTGTGATGAGAGCCGGCAGAGAAGGGGGGATGGACGAGTCTGTTGTTCGAGCAATCCAAATCACATTATCAATACACGCCGGCCAAAAATGGAATGGTCGAATGGTTGTTGGCAGGGCCGGCGCGCAGAGCAGGCAAGCACCGACGACGACAACGACCGCGCAGACAAAAT